GATTTTAGATTTGTATTTTTATCGAAGTAGAAATCTTGGATGAATCCATCGATTTCTTCATTCATGCTCTAAATGGTTGTCATTGATTGCATCTTTGGTCACCATTTTTTTTATCTTCTGACATAGATACTTGGTTCAGGTCATTTGAACTAACATTCCGCTTGTTCTTATCAAAAGAAACTTCAATTTGATTGAATGAAATAGACATGGCTAAAACTTTTTATACGCGCGATATTCGAAATTGTCATTTGAAGAACCGTAAGTCGAGATAACTTCCTTTCATCATTATTATCGCATAGGAACAGTTCATCATCTATGTAGCATCAGTGTTACCTGGGCGTCCGCTGGCAGTCCCCTGAGCATCCCTTGAGTTACCCCTTTGACCGTCATCTGAGCGTTCAAATGTGACACATTTGAGGGATGCCCAGGTGACAGTCGTAAAAGAAAATTGGCAGCAACGGTGTATCAATTATCCCACAATTATAGACCCCTTATTCCCAAAACGCATATGACACTTATTACTATCTATGTTCTTCGACTGTGATCTAAAAAGCTATCCTATAAAACGCTTTTTTACCATTGGGTTAGGGTAATACAGATGTCACTGGTCATTTTCGTGTTCACCGGTTGTCCGCGTTTGGAATATCATTTGAAATGGATGTGAAGAATTCGGATTAGTAAAGCGATTAACAAAAAATCACATCACAAAACATTGTAGTTTACTCAAGGATACACTTACTTGTCGGAAGTTGTTCCGTTGTTATCGAGGAAAAACCACGTTGGGCCCATGTCAAAATCCTTTCTGTGATGCACTTCATACTTCCATCCCGGAAGTGGCAACATGCAAAGGAGGATGCTAGACGGGTAATGTCGACTGCGTTAGACTCCAACGCGGACATAGAAGGTACAAATAATTACCACTGGGAGATGTTTTGCACACTGTTCCTAGTGTCTGGCAGTCCGAAGGATAAAGTAGCTGATTTAGCGAGCATGTTATCATTTCACAATTCACCTCGACAACTGCGGCCTATAATGGGTTGGTTAATCCAGCCGCCATCACGCGTTTTTCTCGTTGGACTGTTCTGCGGTTTAATTAAACCAGGTGACATGCTTCAGCATAGGTCTGACACCATGGAAGAAGTGCAGAAACTATTGTCCATTGGAATGTCAAATACTGAGTAAGTAATAACTGTTCAGCTAAATAATGTTGTAGCAGACGCTTCTGTCAAAAGTTTTCTCAAACAGATTGAACAGCACACAGATTTTTACTGTTGCTGTCGTTAAGGAGGTTAAGGGGGTCAGTCAGAATTGTCGTCTATTTTTCCCAGGCCACCGTGAACGTATGCGTATGGATACTGGCTTTCGCTCAGGAGGGGCATCACGTGACAATTATCCTCCTTAATTCATTGTATGCTGACATGATTCAGTTGTGTCCCCAATGACTATATGCATTCCGTTTGTCTGGGTGTAACGAAGAGACTATGAAACTATGGTTGCGTGGCTCTGGATCACACAGAACCGTTATTGGAGGTCCGCTACTCTGACGTGCAGACGAGCGGGTGACATTGATGCATTATCACATCTCATGTGATTTTCAAAGAATCTGTCGACCAACATTCTATTTTGAGGTCTGGAAGGACACGGAATTCAGACAGTTTCTGTTGTATCTGGGCCTGCAATGCTGCGCCATATATTGCCGGATGACATAAATAAGAACTTCTTGCATCTTCACTTACTCACTAAGTTGTGAGAAGTGGTGTGCATACAACATAAACTTCGGGAAGAATGATGCATGGAAAGTTGTCTGGCAATATAGGGAGTTGTACGGAAACGACCAAGCCGTGTTTAACATTAAGAGTTGGATTCATTTGTCTGAGGATTTTGGCCCAGTGGACAGATTCTCAGCATTTCTGTTTGAATCGTTTATGCCAGTAATACGTGACTCGAGTTCATCCAGGTATTCAGCGGCTGAGCAATTATTCAGACGCATGACGGAATGGACACCAATCTCATTATTGTATAGACCTACGTTGTGCGGGATGACACTGATAGCTAACACATTAGACGGCTACCATGAACAGTGTCTAAGTTTTTCATGGAAGTTACTGTCTACACCGAATTATTATAAATGCTCATATTACGTGGAATTTATCGTTAAAACATTATTTTATACATCGGTTTATGTGCATAAATGAATAATTATTATATATCGACCTTATTGATCTTATGGTCAATAACATAAGTTTATAATCCTTTTGAGAGTAATGCGAGACAGAAATTTGGTAATAGAAACTTTTATTTACGAAATAATTAGACCTTCAGTATAGACCACTTAGCATATTGGATGCCTACGTTAATTGTACATCATTTTGTAAATTATTTTCCAAAAGACTTAATGCTTTTGATGGAGTTAGTGAGCTTTGTTTTTATTATTATAACTGTTAGCATTTTTCCTTCGATGCAGATCAGAATCGTTATGTATACCGATTCCAGTACTACAAAAAGTCTTTCATAGCTAATGGGTACTTAGTTATTTTGTTTAAACTGGTTCATTTATGCGTTAGCATTTTCGCCAAAATGCTACCAGACTGCAACCTATAATACACTACTTCCGATGTAGAAAATCGAACTTAGAATTCATGACGTTAAGAAACGAAGATCCAAGACAAGCCAAACCAAACCGCAAAGCAGTTACTTCCGTCAGGCCATCACAAACCACAAGCATTAAGTATCACGGTTCACGACGACGAACGCTTGGAGAAGAAGGTTTATTAGCGAATCCCGGAGGGCGGCGTCCCAACCGAGCAAAAACACGAAGTCAACTGAATAATACACACGTAGGATCGAGCAAGGGAAAGGTGTAAAGACCAGGGGGAGGGTCCGTTTAAACGTGGATCTCAAGTCAGGGATGAAAAGTACAAAGGGTTTAACAAGGTGTCTCTCGCCCGTGATTCTTTCCGTCCCGTCCATCGATTATATACGGGACCTGAGGTGGTTCAAGAAAGGACATGTCAGGAAGCGCCAATTCAAACCCTACGTTGCGGTTTCAGTTCTATTGCACAGCCTCCCGTCGACAAGGTCACCGTCTTCAGTGCTTTGTGAGACACCTAGGATGTCCCAATCTCCTTCCGGGGGTACCTTTACAGTTTGTTCGACAGTCGGTACAATCCCCGGACGAACGGATGGTAGGGTCAGTTTTGTCTCACTTGCTTCGTTCGCCAGCTTCATTTGGTTGTAATGAAGAGGGAGGCTTCTTCTCGAGGGTTTCCAGCATCTCGTTTGACGCCCATCTGAGTTGAAATTATGTACTCAACTCAATACGGTGGTTTCCAAGGGTTTGAGAACGCCCTGATGAGGATTTGGTTTGATGTAGCCATACATAGTCCCCAGTTCGATATACTGGTCCCCGTATGCTTCTGTACTAATTACTGTTTTGCCGTTGTTGAGCCTGCTCGTGTTGCTTTTGTACTGGACGGTGAGCGGAGCACAAGTTGTTAAGACGTTTCCGATTGTAGCTTACTAGGTTGATCGCATCCTTAGGGGTCAGAGGTGTCATACTTTCCACCAGCAGGCGTAATTATCAACCAAAGGTTAGCTGGGCTGACATAAATCCTGTGGATGTGTGCCGTGTACCCTGGTAGGCCAGAAAGCACCGCAGCAGTGCTTCGTCCCATTTGTGGCTGCTCGAATATTTGAAAAATGAGCACAGGGTCAGGTAGCATAACGTTGCGCATCTGTCGGCTACAAAGAGCTACTTATGAGTTACATGAGCTACATTTGTTATTAAACAGCAATTCACCTGTAAAATGTATTCATGACAGAACAGGGTAGGAAAATTCACAGGACTTGCGGCTCGAGCCAGTATGGTAGTCCAGGTTTTTGCGTCCACGGGCCACGTATGTCTCGTATCGCTTCAACAGGTAGTTGTTGGTTCCTTGGTGGTGTAAGGGTACTGCCGCGGAGCAGGGACGCCAATCCGGTTTGCTGTCGATGAAAGTAGCACCAGTTGATCAGTCGCAGGCTAACCAAAAGGTCTGAGTCCCCCTCCAGCAAACATTAGAGAACCCGCAGGTATGTGAAAATAGGTTAAGACAGGAAGAGACAAGAGCTAGTGCGGGATGGGGTAGAGAGCTGGTTAGACAAAGTAAGGGTGAAGGTTAGTTAAAGTAGATGGAGATGATATAACTAATAGTAAAGAAGATTGGGAGAGGGCAGAATATAAAAGCTAAAGATGTAGCCACCACCAAGGACCGGCTATTTTTCTTTAGGCTGATTCAGAGAAGGTTACGTCCCATATTTCATCGAGCCTTTTTTTGAACAGGTTCAGCGTGGACCCCGAGACAACCTCATTTGGAAGTCTGCTCCAGGCGTTGACCACTATGAGAGAAGTTGGCCCTTTCTCTCTTTAATGCGTCAGATTTAACCAGCTTAAGTTGGTTTTTTTATGGTTCTAAGACTCATTTTCATTTTTAAATCAATCACAGTGCTTTTATTTTTGTACTAAAACTTTCACTTTGGTTTTAATTTACGGTGGAATCTGATAGTTTGAGTGGTTCTTATCTTTTGCTGCTGTGTGAAAGTTATTATTTCTTAACGTCCATCGGATAGTAAGTAAAATTTTGTGATACATTTATTTCATTGTTATTTCTTTTGGTTCCATTATCAAATTTCTTTCAAGAATTACTTCAGAAATCATAAAATATGATGTCATTTTATACAGCTTCTTAAAGTGTCATCTACATCTCGCTGAACATTGTATGGCAACAGTGGATGCAATAAGTTAAGTGTCTTGGTTGTGGCGCGACAAATATTAATGAACACAGAACAAAGTGTCCAAGATCAATAGGCAAATTAATTTTGAAACATGTATTTTGTAATACGTTTTTTATGAGTGCAACTTATTTCCTTCCAAGTGGATTCAACGTAGAGCAAACGAAAGAACTGAAACGAAATTAGTCAGATGACAGTGCATATGACCACTTTGTGCTTAGGTGATGCAAATGAGTGAGAAAGGCGTATCGCGTACAGTGAAAGGTGCCATGCCTACGGTACTGTATGATTCGTTAGCAGTGCTAATAAATAATACCGGAAAACATGGGAAAATATCAGCTTCCGGTCATTTGTTTATTAAAGGTGTTATGGTAAGTAATTATAATAAGATATGAATTAAGTTACTGGATGCTATTCGGATGAACCCCAGATTTATCTGTACTTCAATGGATTGTGTTGAACACGAAATAAGTAGGTGTTTCAAAATACGACGAACAGAATTGCCGCCAGAATATTGCGAAAGGAAAGTACTACGTTTTGGTAATCTATAGTAGCGAATAAATGGTCGTCTATAAACGCCCAATTATCTGCAAGAAAGCCTCTGATTACACTGGGCTCCGTTCTTTCGAAAGGTCGTCGATACCTTAGGGAATGTTCAACGTCTAGCCATGCGGATGATAGTTGGACAACGAGGAAGGGTATGAACAGCGGCTCAGCGCTTTAAATATGAGAGGAAACCTAATTAAGACGTGTAAGATCGTCGAGATATATCAGGCCTTGGATTTGACGACCTGTTCTCCAGGGTTCCGCTTAGAGGCACACAGGGACATAACTTACGGTTGCAGCGAAGCCACTCTAGATTGCAACTGAGGGCAACGTTTTTCACTAACAGGGTAATTCCGTTGTGGAACCGGTTGCCGCTGACAGTGGTAACCTGCAGTACTGTGGATGCATTTAAAAAGGCACTTGGTGGGTGTTGGATAGCGGTTTTCCTGGAGGTAGGCGTTTAGTACCACCTATAACCTAACCACAAATGATGTGATATTGCACCACACTATTCTGCCTTTCGGAAAAATTGCATATCGAAGTGTTTGAAGCCAAAGAAACTCGCCGACAACACACGAATCTGGACGCTGGATTGGCAAAAGCTTCGAATCCTCCTTTGAGAACTGAAATGAACTGAAATGAAATTAACCAGAAGCTTTTTTGAAGATTAGAATTGACACGATACGGTTGTGGTGAAGGACGATAAAAATGATTTATTCAATTAGTCAATATAATGCGTTGTAATCGTTACAAAACACGTGCTTAAGCCCATTAAGAGATGGTGTAGGCACTGGATTATCGGTAACCCGAGTTGATCCGTCTACATCGCAAACGAGAGTTTGTACGAAAGCATAGCGGGACTATTCACGAAAACTTAGGACGGTTGTATTGCGTAAAACTGCAGAGCCGAAAAGAGAGATTTGGAAGTGTAAACGTAAACGGAAAAGGAGAGGATCCACGCGCTGACCAAAGAGGTGGCCTTGGTGCGATTAAAAGATAAGATTCAAGGGAGGAAAGGTTCCTGTGGAATGGGAGGTTGTTCTTTTTACTACAGAGCCGTAGCGCGGCTATTTCCATTTGATTGTGTCGCGTGCATCCCTTACTGGTTCATGATGGTTTGTTTTCGGTACGTTACAGATTGATTTTCAATGCCTCCCTAGAATACCACGAACACTTTTCCGGCCTTGCCGATAGATCGCGGCTATTCGTGTATCAAATACATGCCCGAGTGTATCTCGCGGCCAATAGCTGTTAGCCGCGAGAGAGTTGTTACCCGGTAACAACCCATATAACGCCGTACGTTCGGAGTCCCGTTGCAAACTACGTGTGCTTAATGAGATTATACTACTGTGGTATTATGCATCCTCATTGGAGCTTTTTCATTCGAAAAGGTCTCGGAAAAACGAGGTGACGAAGTATATGTGTGTATTCCGCTCCAGGATTGTTGGCTCTAGGGACGAAGCGTTCCATTGTGATGGGTAGTTACGCCTAAATTGTTCCCAAATCGGCGCAGACAAGTATGATTAGTTCGAGAAATGTCTCTCTTCATTTCTGAAGATAATGTGTTGTAGGTGCTGGATCTCCACTTCGAAGGAGAGTGCCACTCCGATAGCGGACAATAATCAAGCACCCATAATACCGGTGGCCATAATACGGTGGCCTTTTCGTATGCGGACATCACCGTCATTCAATTGACGAAGGCATCTCCTACAACCGCACCGCGGAAGAAGCAGCCAAAGAAAATGCCAGTGCTGCCATCTGCTGCACTGCTCCCACAAAAGGGACTCAGCTACCTTGATGTGCACGACATCCAGACAACATGCATGCAACCTGCCCCGGAATACTGAGAGGTGCCCTTTAGTTCTCCAGGAACCTGTGCAGCAGAGGAAGGCCCTTAGCAATCACAGTGCATCATAGTAGTCAATCTTCCTGGAGGCTGAGACCATCACCGCTCAGCCTAGATTAGACCACAATCAGCAGTTGGTGCAGTCGCATATGTTGCTTTGCTTGCAGGTGACGAGGCGGAAGCTGCAGCATCAATCCCAGTGAAAGTGGCCTTCCAGTTTGGAAAATCTCGCCAGAATAACTCCCCGCGGCCACCGAAAGTGGTTCTTCGGGCAGAGGATGAGGCTAAAGCGATACTTCAGCGGACCTACAAGCTGAAGGGATCCTCGGTACAGTTCATCTGGGATCTTGATCCATAACAGCGCGGTACACCAAAAACTGCATTGGCGGAACTCAGAGAGCACCTTGTGAAAGGGGAAACTAATCTCTGTAGACGGGAATTTCGGGTGCCCTCAGTTGCTTTGGCTACCCGTGACCGGAGGGAGGATGCAGTGGATCGTTTAACTGTGGACGAGAGAATCATGTTGAGGCGCGAATGGCGAGGTAATCAAGTTGCGCTATCCTTAATGTGGTGATAGCTCATGAACTGTGAACTCTTTTGTTTTATTGAACACGATATCCCAATTTCCGCTTATTACAGTTCCATTCCGTCGCTGAGTTCAGTCTTCTGATTTCATTTCGAGTCCTAGTTCTGGGTTGGACTATTACTGCTCGGAATCCGATACGTACACGATTTACTTGTCCCAGTGCTAACCGTAACAACTGGAATTGCGGTCATTTTGAACCAACAGAGTCCTGTATGTTAGAGAATTTGAAAACACGTGCCAGTGCCCGCGAAGTCGAAGACTATCTTGAACGAATCGAGACTTGGTGTATAACGCGGAAACGACTCGATCGAGAACGTGAAGTATTATTATTTTCCCTTTTCAACGCCATTCCCCCGATTAATGTGAAGACCCTATTTTGTTTTATTGTCTTCGGGTTCGAGAACTGGTATGATCTCGATTGTGGCACAATTTCTGGTGAGTTGTATCGTGCGCTTAGCTCTTTGTACACTTTTCACGGCAGGCCACATTATACTACATACGCTCGTACCCGACTTCCTTCTCAACTCGCGTTTGCTCTGGGACCCCTTTCGATAAGCCAGATTGATTGGATCAGTAAACGTGTGACAACTTCGGCCCTGTTTAGTGTGCTAAAAACGCAAAACGGCTGGTTTCCTAACGGTCATCGGAAAGGATTCATACTTATTGTTGAAGAATTTGGCACTTCCTGACTCTCCTATATCGTTGTCGTATGAATCCCTGAAAACCTTGCTGGTGAAGCATCGACAGCCGGCTAATTTTGAAGCCACTGAACAAGCCAAATTTCATTTACTCACACGTGGTGGAAGCCAATCTGTACGCGGCTTTATTCCTCAGCTTCAGACTCGAGCATCTCGTTGCAATTTCGGAGATCAATTGCAAACCCAGCTACGTGATCGAATAATTGCTGGTATTAATTGTCCGGAATCACAGCAAAAGCTCCCGCTCATGCATGATTGCACATTTCAGTCGGCTAAGGCAGTCTGTGAACATTACCAAAACGTCCGTGCCGTTATTTGCGACGAACCCAACTTGTTGTTTACTGCCAGCAATTCCAAACAGTCACCATCCGACGAAAGCGGTTTTTCGAAAAGGGTTTGAAAACACCAAGCAACATCCGTTCTCCAGCCCACAATGACCAACGGATTCGACGAAGGAACAGGTGCAATTCCTGTGATTTAAGACATTCGCGGCTATCCTGTAGATTTTTAAATACCAAGTGTCACAATTGCGGTAAGCTTGGCCATATCCAAGTTGTCTGTAAAAGTGCGAAGTCGTGTCTTACCCAATGTATGACTTTACATTCCTCTAAAGATTTATTGTGTGATTTACAGTCCTTAACTCTAGCCAGTACCATTTCATGTCCCTCTCGTCACATTACTCGCAACCTCATCAGTAATGAATCCATTCACCATTCATTCATTGTGGATACCGGCAGTATTGATTCTTTCATTTTCAACAAGATACTTCGTCAGTTAAACCCCCCAGTTGCACTTTCCTAAACAGACATTTCAGTTAAGGGAATTACTGGTCATCCTTTGTCCGTCTTGGGATCATGCGAACTGCTTCTTAAAGACGATAAATCACACACATTTCACTGCCCGTTTTTGGGTCACTGATTCCGACATTTCTATAATTGGTTTGAATTGTGTGAATCGTATGCATCTGTCATTTTCACTCATGCCTGACTCCCATCAATTACGTCTTCATCACTTAGTACTTGAATGTTCCAAGGCAAAGGGTGGTATCAAAATAACTCCTGTGAGCCTCAAAGTGACCGGTTCTCTGGTGTTTATGAAACGTCGGATTATCCCACTTGGGCTTCATGAGCCCGTAAAAAAGCCGTTAGATGAAATGGTAAGCAAGGGACTTCTGCCACCCGTAAATTCTTCGGCCTGGGTCACGCCAATTGTTACTCCACTAAAACGTGACGGGAAGACTCCTATGATATGTGGGGATTATCGAGTCACTGTGAACGGACAGCTGAAACAGCCCAGTTGTGCCACCGTCGAATCAGAAGACATTCTGCACCAACTTTATGGATCCAAATTTTTCTCTAGTCTAGACTTAAAAGACGCATTTCTTCAAATTCTTCTTGATGAAAAGTCTCGTGAACTCACGGCTATTAACACACCTGTTGGTTTATTTCGCTATAATTTTCTACTTTTGGACTCATTGTTTCACCCACTATTTTTCAAACTACAATTGATTCCATCATTTCTGGCTTACAAGGTGTATGTGCCTATCAGGACGATATTATTGTCCATGCGCCTAGCAGACATTTACATGACGAAAGCTTGTGTGCTTTGCTTGAAAGATTTCGTTCTCATAATGTTGCTATTAACCCTGATAAATGTGCCTTCGCGACGACTAAACTTTTTTTTCAAGTTATTTGGTTGGTGAATCCGGATTCCGTCCTGACCCTAATCGATTTTCTTCGTTGAATAATGCTCCATCTCTCAAGTCATTCCATGAACTTTGTTCTTTAATTGGTTCTTTACAATACTATTCCAAGTTTCTTTCTAACTTTTCAACCCAAGCTGCTTCATTGTTCGATTTACAGTCACAGCAAACATTTCAGTGGACTTTGGTTCATAAACGTGCCTTGAGGAAGTTACTTTCCTGTTTATCTACCAGTGCTGTCTTACGTCCTTTTTTCTCCACGATTACATTCTACCGTCATCACGAGCGCATCGCCCGTTGGAATTGGAGCTGTGTTGGAGCAGAATGGTCATCCCGTGCTGTGCATCTCACGCAGACTCACGGCTGCCGAACGTGGGTATTCCCAAACTCAACGAGAACCTCTAGCTGTCTATTGGGCTGTCACGCATATGCACAATTATCTTTATGGTACTCATTTCACTATTGTGAGTGATCATGAAGCTCTGCAGTTCATTTACAACCCTCAACGTTCCCTGGCTAAGTCATCTGCAACCATGGTACAACGATGGAGTATTGCGTTGTTTGCCTATTCCTACGACATCCATCATTACAGTGCGCAGTCCATTCCACATGCAGACTATCTATCACGCTACGCCATTTCAGAGGGGGCTTCTACGGGTGATTGTCTACTCACTTAACCGCTCCCGGTAGGCAGATCTGCTCTAGTTCGCGAGACCAAGCAATATAACCATGCTACAATTTCCTGTGTCCGTCGAGGTAGGTGAGGTGATATCAGGCGTCAATTTCCGGAACTCCTGAGGAAATTTCTGTGACGCGTGATGGTGTCTTATGCTACAATGATCGCATTATCGTACCTCCGACATTATTTACTGCAGCTCTCAATGACTTACATTTCGGTCATCTTGGCATTGAAAAGATGAAATCTCTTGCTCGTCTCACATGCTGGGAGCCCGAACTGAATCATGATCTGAATCGTGTTACAAAGTCCTGTGCTGATTGTGTGCACAAAACTCATAGATAGCCTTCGAAGTGGACTCCGTGGCCAGTATCTTCCGAGTCTTGGCTAAGAATGCATGTGGATTACTGTGGTCCATTCTTCAACAAGTATTACGCATTGTTGATCGTCGATTCCCATTCCCGTTGGCCGGAAGTGTACTTCACTACATTGCCCAGTTCAGAATTTAATATTCAAGCACTCAGAAAAACGTTCAGTAGAGAAGATGTCCCGCACGCTATCGTGACTGACAATGGAAGTCATCTCACTGCCAAGAAAGTTACCGATTGGTTGAACTCTGTGAGTTGTCGGCATGTTCTCACTTTACCCCGATATCCGCAATCCAATGGCGCAGCCAAAATCTTTGTGCGCACGTTAAAGAGTGTTATTGCTTCTTTGAATCCCAGTACATTGGATGAACTGGACAGAGGTGTTGATAACTTTCTGATGCAATACCGTACCGCAGTACATTCAACTACGGGACACTAACTACGAGACCTGAACAGTACGTACCCTAGCGCGCGGTTTGAATTTATAAAGTGCTCCGGGTTTTAAATCGTTTGGTCAAGCTAAAGTGAGATATCTGTATATATTTCATATTATAATTACATATTTTTACCGTGTTTTGCTTAACCCGTGAATATCGCAAAATATTTCATAGTACTAAACTCTGGCTGGTTTTGACTAGTCATTGAGAAACGTTTTTGTTGTTTACAAGTTTTATAGGTTGTCCGTTTTTGTTTCCCTCTACGGTTGCGTGTCTTTTTGTTCCTTTTTTGGTTCATTCTAACATATTGAT